TATAGGAGATGGAGGTTTGTTTGGCTGGACATCAAGTACCCCCGATGATCATGTAAGGGCTCGGTTTCGCACTGCTCCTTCTTAATGGTTCAACAGCACATGTGAATCGAGCATCCAGCCTTGCAGGCTGTGTCATGGTATGATAGGCAAATGATGCAAATGTTTTTTTGTCACGGCACGTTTTGAGTGACTCATTTTTACATCGTTTTTGGCCGGCTGGGTCTTTGAATCGTTCCATGTGGATTTCCATGACCGACAGCATTCTGGGGTCTCCAGTCTTGACGGAGTCGGACCCGGGAACCACCAATCTCTCAGCTGAAACAAAGAAGCGCCAGTGCTTTGTTTCGGTGAAGAAAGCACTGTGGTGCTTTCACACCTGGATTCATTGTCATTCACCTGGTGGATTCTTTGATATTCTTTGAATCAAAAGAGCTATAGATCTCAAGAATGACCAGTCTGGCTCTCAACACTACTAAGTGACTCAGAATGCTCCAGCATTCTTTGAGCTCTGCTTGGTAGGCAGGGCAGCTGGCTGCACTCCAATGTGCAATCCTCTGCACCAGCTGAGGGCTCAGCGGCTCGGAGGTCAATGCATCGATGATGGCAGCATCCTCAGGCTCAGTGCATCGATGGGGACGAAGGTCGAATCCATAAGTCATCCAAATACATCCAAATCCCAGAAGTGGGCATGTCCAGGGCTATCTGATAGGTACCTGAAGCTATTCAAATACAAAAAGTTAGGTCAGGTCTCAATCATCTGTCTAGTCTCTGGTATATATTTCGTGGTGCAAGGGAACTAAGATGTTCCAGACCCAAGTAAACATCCACAGGGACGGTGTCGTGCTGTGCCAAAAAAGGAACCTCACTCTCCATTTGGGCCACCTGCTCCCGCTGCGCCAAGCATCTTGCTGAGGTGGAATGGCTGCACCCACCTCGGTCGTGAAGCTGTCGAACGAAAGGTCCACCAAACCATGCTGCAAGCAGCCAAAGATGGGGATTGTTTGACCTGCCACCAACAACAGGGGCACATAGAACTACATATTCTTACGACTTTACCTACCATGAAGAAGAGAATCCGGCAACAAATACACAGACCCAACAGGAAAGTAAACCCAAGCTCACTATAGACTTAATCCAAAGCACCCCTGCAAAATATCGCAACATAAACCATCTGAGAAAAACATCAACAACAAAATACCGTGAACAACCAAGAAAAGCAATTCTTGCAATGTTCAATTTCTGATACGTCTGACTCATTTTGCAACTCTGGATTATTGGTTGTGTGCTGTGGTCACTTGATTTTGCTTGGGGTTATGTTCACCAGAGGCGGCTTTATTCTAGAAATCTTCAAACTTGAAAGAAACAAAAAACAAACCAAAAAAGCACCAGAAAAGCAAAGAGCAACCAAGAAAGCAAAAAACCTCAAAAAAGTGCAACCAAAAAAGCACAAGCAAAACAAAGAGCAACCAAGAAAGCAAAAAGAACGCAGCAAAAATGCAACCAAAAAAGCACAAGCAAAACACAAAGGGCAGTTTGGGGAGGCCGGGTAGGGTTAGTACTGGACAAGGCTCTTTTCTGGTGCCGGGTCAAGTGTCGCACTTTTGGTTGCTTATTTTTTTTTCTGGTGCCGGGTCAAAGGTCGCACTGTTGGTCGCTTTTTTCTTCCGGGGCCGGGTCAGAAGTCGCACTTTTGGGCTTTCTTTTTCATGTTTTCCGGCGCTGGGTAAAAAGTCGCACTTTTGGTTGCTTTTATTTTTCGCTCTTTGTTCGCATTATTTTTGCTCTTTTGCGAAAAAACAAGCGAAACAAGAGCGAACAAAGCGACCAAAAGTGCGACTTTTTTTACCCGGCGCTGGGAAAAAAGGAAAAAAGCGACCAAAAGTACACCAGAAAGTGGACCCTCCCCCAAAAGTGCGCCAGAAAGTAGCCTCCCCAAAAAGTGCGCCAGAATAGTGCCCCAAAAGCGCGCCAGAACGTGGATCCTTCCAAAAAGTACACCAGAAAGCCCGGCTGAGTTGTTCCATTTTTGCTTGCAATGTTTTTTGCTTTTTGTTGCTTTTATGATCGCTTTTGTTTTTCTGGTTGCATTTTGTGATTGTTTTTTTTGTTTTTTGCTTGCTATGTTTTCAAGATGATAAACTTCTAGAATAAAGGGGTCTGGCAAACATAAGCTTGGGGTTGATGGCTTCTTTTCGTTCTTTTGGTCTTATGGCTCCGAAAAACTCTGCGCTGAAAAACAGCAAAAGCAAAATCCCAGCAGATGCTACACCTCAAATTCATCAAAACAACATGAACAAATAGTTTGATATATAGTTCCTTTTTAAAGATACTTTGAATGTATATATATATATAACTATACCTAATGAATCCTAATGAACGCCTGTTTCACTCCAGCCGGAGTGGCAAGATCTCTGCCAACATCTGTTGTGTTGAATCATCCATCCAATCTGCAATAATCCTGTCATATCCTGTCCAATCCGAACTAATCACATGCCATACCCATCACATCCCAAACCCTCCACAACTGCAGCTGTGGGCACTGCTGATGCGCCAGGAGCATCGCCTGCAAGTTGAAAGTTTCCCAAGAACTGACTCTTGGTCTCCTGGAGAAGTGAGATGCATCTCAGATGAGACCCAAGCCTTCTTAAGCCTGGAGAGCAGGAAAACCAGGAGTTTTTGATCGGAGTGGTGTAGGCACGAATTTGGGTAGCCTTCCATGCTACAGATCCAGGCAAATGTGGTGTGGTCTCTTCCTCTCACCCTTGGGTTCCTGCCACCTCCGGTGGCACAACACCTCCAGGGTCACGAGAGGTCCCATTGGAGGTGCTTCGAGACCGGTATCCCCTTGTGCTTCGCGGACCGCGCTCCGCGACCCGTCGTCCTCCCAATCGGCCGTGAGCCGGTCGAAGGAGTGCCGCTCGCAGCACCTCCGACCGAACAAGGAAAACACGTCGAGCATCGCGGTGGCCACGGAGCGGTGGGGCTGTTGCTGATGTGTTCTCAGTAACCTCTCAACATCAAAAAACTAAGAGCTGAAACATTTGAAGAAAGAACTTTGGTATGATGTATAGAGATTGTTAAACCTTGAACATCCCGTTCTGCATTTTTGATCTTTTTGGTGCCAGTTCTTGGGGGATCTCCATACGGGTCGAACGAGGACATGTTTGGCGGCCGGCCACTGATCCGATCGATGGCACCATTGGGAGGGTCCGAACATGTCCGAAGCCGTGACATATGGAAATGAATTTCCATGCTCGAACTTAAGCGTCGAAGAACTCCCAAACAGCATCACCCTATACATCCTATACACTACAAACATCTACAAACTGCAGAACGTAAGCTCCATCGGCATCTCAAGGAACCTCAAACGCAACTATAGTTATGCTGATGTATGCTGGATCTCAGGACATGCTCATGTCCAAGAATGCCTTGCCTAAGACAGTCTCTGTAGCTCTCTTCCACAGCTTCCACGATGACTCGCTCATGTCGAAAGCCAAAGAACTCTTGCAGCCCGACCGACGGATCCACGTCCTGCTGCTTTGCGCTGGCCTGATGTGCAACCAACCGAGATGGAGTGAACATGAGTGGGCTTAAGTCGAGGACTCTAGAGGACACTGAATATTTGGAGCCTGCCATGTCCGAAACTCCACGAGTACCTGGCCCTCGGACCCTGGGACCATCTGAGATCAATTTCCGACCTTCAAGACGGTTCCGACCCTCGGCTCTTCCGCCATTTTCGCTCCCCAAGACGCTGTCCAACACGGCTCGGCCTGTGTTGCGAGGCTGAACTCTGCCACGTCTCGTTCCAAGCGTTGGGCCTGGGGTGTCTGCAGCAATCGCGGTTCCCGCGACCCAAAGGTTCCCCAGACGGGACCGCTCTGGGATCGCGCCCGGGCTTCGCCAAAGAGCTGTTCCAAGGACTTGTGAACCTCGGTGAATCTGGCGACTTGTTGCTAAAGACTAAAGAATACGCAAGGTAGTGAACCTGGATGAACCTGGTGTTCAGGATCACTTCAAGTCTTTTGCAATGCAAGTATCCCCTGATAATTATGATTGATCATTATGTGAGACCGAGACCCTTCTAGGAAGTGTTTACGATTGTTTACATATTGGAGAAGAGCATTTTGAAGGCAGGATGAGATTGAGATGTCTTTGGGGATGCGTTCCAACCAAGCTTGCTTCCCCGTCGACAGAAGCCGGCACAAGGGCGGGTGTGCTCGTCCTCCGGTGTGTTCCTTTTGCTCGCTCGCTGCCGTCGTTTGTGTCCTGCGCCCGAGCAGGGCCTGCGCAAACCAAGCCACTGCCGTGCTCCGACCCTGCGTCGCCGCCCTCCGGCCCTGCGAGCTCGCCGCCTCCGCCAGCCGCTCCGCGCGCTCCAGCTGCCGGAGGCCCTCCGAGTGCACGTCGACGGGGGACGGCAAGGCGGTCGTGGCCATGGCGCGTGACCGGATGGGGAGCTTCTTCACGGTTTGCCAGATAGTCCAAAGTAAAGAGTTCCAACCTAGGGGTGAGATAGGGCCCCACGCTCTTTGGGGGGCAGGTTTGTGTATGGTTGTGCTATGATTGTTGGGAAAATGCAGGCAAACATAGGCTCTTGTTCTGGTATGTGCTTGTCATTTCAATATATTGTCGTTGTTTCATGCTTTGAGTATGCTTCAGCTTGGGGCTTTGGTTTGCCTTGTTGATACAACGTAGGCAACAGCCATACGGAAACCACAACCCAACCTCTTGGAACATGTAAGCTGTCAACGACTTTCGGACTGTTCCAAAAGGCTTCACCGGTAATATTCCTGGTGAACATCTTGAGCCAAGTTCCAAACTGCTGTGATGAGGACAACGAGAAGCACCTTAGAGTAGGGGCTGCAAGGCTATTGAGACTCTTCTATCGGATCAACAAACTCCAGGTCGCCCTGCCTTTCCAAGACATTTGAACGTACCGAAATGCGCATGGAAACCTGCTCAGGACGTGCGAACTGTCTTGTTGTGATTGAGCTGCAAGCCCTGTGAGGTGGCTCTTCAGCACATCCTCCACAGCGCCGAGCCTCAACACCATGCGCTGTTGCCGTTGCGGTCCTTCACGCGGTTCACGTGTCCCTTGCAAACATGTTTTGAGGAACGGACATCCAGTCGCACCCGGGGGTCATCCAGTCGCACCCTTCATCCTAAATCTACCACCTTGCCATGCTTCTTGCTTTGCCCCAAATCTTCTTCCGCTCTCCCTCGGGGCCGTGCCACTCGGACGCCGAAAAGTTGAGGCCCTCCATCTGAGATCCGATCCGCTTTTGGAAACGAACTCCTCAACCGATCCGATAAGCAGCTGGGCTTCTCATCATATTTGGTGTATTTGCGTGGTGTCCCTCCATCCTCTCTAGCGATTTGCAGGTGCTTCTCCACTTTTTCTATGTCACACTCGGACGTGTGTACAACCATACGGAACTATATTGGTTCATTTGGACGTCTTTGGGCATTTTCGATGGCTTATTTCTCTCGTCTTCGCATTCCAAGTCCCATTTTCGTGCCACGTTGTAGCGGTTACAGTTGATAACATCTCATCAGTCGTCACTTGCTTGAACAACAAGAGTTACGCTCGATGTGGCATTGTTTTGCATGGACTCGTGCTTTCTGAAATGGCTGCAATCTGTACATCGGGAAAACATGGGAAAACCATGGAAAACCCATGCTTGACTTAGTTGAAGTCCTAGGATGATGCTGTTGACCCCAGGGATCCCACTCCCTCTCAAATGGTAAGCCTCGGGTGCATTTACTTCGTGAAAGCGAAGTGAAGAACATGAATCTTTTCCACGGCTCCGGTACAGCTCCCACCTAATAGCGTGGCCTCCAACCTACTAGTGATGGCCTCCAACCTAGGGTTCTAGACCATACGTTTTCGATTTTTCTGATCAAAGTTGCCCAGCCCAATGTGCATGTATGTGCATGTCCTCTTGATTGAGATGAATGGATGGACTCATCTACTGCCCAATTGACTCATCTAAGTGGGGCCTCTGCATGGCAAGTCGTCTACACCCGGACATTGCAAATGGCGAGCAGCAGCCTTTTTTGGAGCAAATGTACAGCTTGGACTTCATCCTCATCCTCCGTTTGGAAGGAAGAATGTGAGTGACCATCACTCTAAGCCACAAAAGCATTATGGAGTGCATCTAACCTTGTTTGGATCCCTCATTTTCCTGCGAACTGGGTCTGTTCATCGGAAAACCAACTGGCAACGGATCCACAACCAGGTCAGCTTGCTCTGCAAACGTTTAGACTTTAGACTGTCAAAGCTCAGCTGTATGAGACCACCTGGTGACCCCTGGGCTTGTTCTGGACAAGAAAGATGCTAGTTGCTTAGCTGTTGTCCGGCTTCTATTTCACCAAAGGCCTTAAAGGCCAGGAGCCCCTACCTAGTAGCGTCCGAACGCTCCGTTCGTAGCGATGCCAGGAGCCCCGTGCGTAGCGTCCTTGTTCCTACATGGAAATGGAATTGCTCAATGGTCATCAATGCTCCACCTGGTGGGCCCCTACAGCCAAAAATAATGGTACCTGCCATCTCATCAGAGAAGACCTTGCGAAGAGCGAGGTCTGCAAAACTGGTACAAGCAATCTCTCAACAAAGCTTGACTCCTACAAGGATGTTTCTTTCTTTTCTTTTTTAATATTTATTTAGCAATTTGGATTTACTATACGTTAAGTTTAATAAAACACATATTTCTCAACAAAGCTTGACTGGACTGATCAGCTTTGTGACTTGAATCGAAAATCCCCGCCCCCGCCAGAGAGTCCTGATAAACACACAAGCTGAGAAAGCCGCGTGAAGAACAACTGCTTCACCCGCACAACTGCCTGCCAACCCCCGAAACTCAGAGAACACTTGTGGGGATCCCCAAGATTCTTTGAGTCAAGTGACCCACCTGCAAAGACTCTGGCCTCTGGCGACGCCGCTTTCCCGTCTCTTCCGTCCGAGCGGCAGCGACCACTCAAAGCCTGGGTGCCTACGCGGCGTCGAACAGAAGACAACTCTACTGAGTGCTTTCTTCCACTCTTTCGATGGAAAAAAAGACTCACTGACGAACCATTTGGACACACTCTGGTGCGTGGTACTGTCCGCGACTACTGTCCGTCCTTGGGCGGCATTTTATGGTCATCATATGGTCATCATCTGTCCAATCTGGAAGTCATACCTGAACATGATGTTGAGTTCACTTGTCCTGTTGTCTCTTAAGTGAGTTTCTTTCGGAAGTGACAGCGACGGTCGAATCCCGGAGACCGAAAGCCGATCTCCGTGCCTTCGGCTTCCAAGGCTTTCCAAACTCACGCTGTGCTGCCTGGGCACGGAGATACAATGAGATGCATGATGATGCATGTAAGCCCTGTCCTTCGAAAACGGCTTCAACCATGTTTTGTCTTGGACCAAACATGGACCTGCTCCGAGGGTTTGGAAGATGAAGCTGGGAGAGTCGAAGGGACTCGAAGGACGCGAGTCCAAAAACGGAAGTGAAGCGAAGTGGTTCTTGTTGCCAGGCCGGTTGCTGACGTGACCAACTCACAGGCCGGCTGTTTGGTCAAGCTTCCGTAGCTCACCATGAAAGAACACCCCCCTTTCTACATGCTTCAACAAATCACCATGCTGCGGTGTCTGCTTGTTGCTTGTTGAAGCCAAGTTGCTGCCTTTGAGGCTAAGTTCTGCATGGAAGACCAAGTCTCTTCGGAGACCCAGGGTGGTAGATACCCTGGACGCCTCGCGAGATGACGGGAGCATGCGACCGAGAGAGAAGCACAAAACTACCAAGAGAAGTGCCTACCAACATCATCCAGCATGTATTTGCTATATCTGTATATATATATATTATATGATTTTATTAGTTATATTACCAATATATATATATAACTATATATTTATATATACCCGTCCGCCTCTGAACTCTTTCCAGAGTCTGAAAAAGACATTGCACAGCTCAGCATTTTCACTCCGCTCTGAGGATCCCCAACGATATCTGAGCTCGACCTGTCACGAGAGATGTTCTCACGAGAATCGTGTTCGACACAACATCAGTCAAATCAAGGGAGGAGGGGGCACTGGCAAGCGGAAACCAGAAGTTCTGTCATTTAAGACCGGAAGTTTCGTGATGAATCGTGATGATGGTCCTTTGCACGAGTACTTATTTCATGACTCAATGACAACAACGCTGTGTCTGTGCACTCGCAAGCAAAAGGGCCCAAGTCGTAGACCATGGGTTGCTGCAAAAATAAATGGAGTAGCAGCAGAGAGGAAATACATGGAAATACTCTATACAGTAACGTAGTACGCTAGAGTTTCCATATGTTTCCATCATGTCTGTCTGCATCGCGACTGCTCAAACGTGTTTGATCATTTTTCGATATACCCAAACGCTCCAAGCAGCCCTTGGTCCCTCTAAACCTGGGGATTTGAGACCCCCAAACAGGGTCCATGAGCGTCCCTTGAGGCGCCTTCCTACCGATGCTTCCGAACAAACACACACACACATCTTTTCTTTGCTCTGACAACAAAGTGTGTCTTTCCAGATGCTGAGAGTGGAGAGGTGCCCAACATCTTTTTCAGGTTTTCTCCGGAGTCCCAACCATTTTTGCCCAACCTGCCTGGCTGCAATGGGCCCATGGCCCTGCTGGCCAGAGGCAAGTTCTGGCATCAAGTGGGGGCCATGGGGTATCATGGGGTCTTGGTCAAGAGTCCCTGGCTCACATCCAATGGTGAAGCTGGTGAAGGTACCAAGCGAATCCGCCGACCCCACACCGTGGGGTGAGGCGTGACTGTCGATGTTAGCCGTAGCCTTAAGCCTTAGCCTTAGCACTAGGCCTTAGCCTTAGCCAGCCTTAGCCTTAGACTTAGACTTGGACGTAGCCTTAGCCTTAGACCTTACCTCCCCACCCCTCCGGACCTTTGTTGCAGTGACGAATCTCTACGCAAAAGCGACGTGATAGCTACGTGATTTGACGTGATTGCGACGTGTTTACGACCGGAATTGATGTGATTTCGACGTGATGGTAGCCTGGATTGTCCAAGATTCTGCCATCCCAATTGATTTACATCTTGGGGCACCCTCTCCACCCGCGCGGGAAAATAAGCACGGTCCAAAATGGTCCTGGGCTCGAATCCCGGGCTGGTCGCGGCGTGGTCCCGGCCAGTGCCCTTGTTTTTTCGTAGATTTTGTCACGTTTTCTGTTGGATTTATGGGACTTTCAAAGGCTTTTCTAGCATTTTCCTAGGAATGCTCTAGGCTTTGTCTAGATTTTGTTATGTTTTCGCTGGATGCTTTTCCAAGAATTTTCTAGCGCTTCCTCTTGTTTTTAGGTTCCCAGATTTCACCCAAAAATTGGTAACCTTTTGCTAACCTATGGAACTTTCAAATGTACCCTAGACCATGGGCAGCGCCCTGCGGCCCCACAGGCCGCAGAACCCAACGCGTCACGGGGTTCATGCAAGAGCTGACGTCCGATGGTAAATCGGGAGGTACCCAAAAAGTCGACTTTTTGGGTACCTGCTTTGGTGGTGCTGGGTTGGGTCTAAATTCTTGGGCAATGATATCCTTTATGGGGAGGAGGGTTCAGCATTACGGGGTTCATGCAAGAGATGACGTCCGATGGTAAACCTGGGAGGTACCCAAAAAGTCGACTTTTTGGGTACCTGCTTTGGTGGTAAAGGGTTGGGTCTAAATTCTTGGGCAATGATATCCTTTATGGGGAGGAGGGCTCCGCATCACGGGGTTCATGCAAGAGATGACGTCCGATGGTCAATCTGGGCCTTCCGTGGCCTTTTGTCTCGCAGGTGTTCCCTTTGGCGACTGCGTCGCGCGAGCACGGGACACTGCGCGGCACGCGTCCGGGGGGCTTCCAGGAGCAGCTATGCACGGATGGCGTACGTCGGGCAGTTATTTTCCTAGGAATGCCCTAGGCTTTGTCTAGATGTTGTTACGTTTAAGGCTAAGGCTAGGCTAGGGTACATCGACAGTCACGCCTCAAGGCTAGCGCTAGGCTCTATTTTGTGGGGGTCGGCGGCTGCCGGCGGTAGCCTGGTAAATCCGGGCGCCGGCCAGGACGCCCGTGGCATGCCCGGAGGGCCTTCGGTGGTAACCGAAGGTTATAGACGCTCGCCCCCCCAACC